TCAGTTGGAGACCGTGGCGATTCCAAACTGTGCTTCGGAGACGACCGAAGGCTTGACTGGCTTTCGAGATCCTGTTGGCGACTTCGTCATCAATCTTGGTGTTGTGGGAGAGGGTACTGCCCAGATACGGGAATTTCTCCACGACTTGCAGTTGATTTCCGTTCACGTTGATTTGCGGCGGCGCGTTGGGGGCTGTGGCTGAGTTGGGCGGCGGTTGGTGCATCACCACCGTCTTCTGAGTGTTAATGACCAGCCCAAAGTTCTCGCAGGCGGCGGAGAATAGGTCCATGCTCCGTTGCATCTCCGCTTCGGAGGTGGTGTTCAGGGCGCAGTCGTCGGCGAAGAGGAGTTCGTGCACGGTAGTTGTGGATACGCGCGATTGGAAGTTCATGCGCCGTCGATTCAGAAGATGACCGTCCGTTCTGTAGGCGATGCGGATTCCAGGGCGTTCGTCGCGGTAGGCGTCCATCAGCATGGCAGAGAACATGAGACTAAAGAGGGTAGGCGCCAGCACACAACCCTGCTTCACTCCGTTGGTCACTGCGAATGCCTCTGAGACAGCTCCGTTGTCCGTGACTCGCGCCATCATACCGTCGTGCAGCTGACGCACCATCTGAGTGAATCGCTCCGGACAGCCGAATTTCTGCATGATCTCCCACAGTCCTTCACGATTCACCGTGTCGAAGGCTTTCGTCAGGTCCACGAAGGTAGAGTACAGGTGGGTCCGCATCTCCTGGCACTTCTCTTGAAGTTGGCGGGCGGCGAAGATCATATCCGTGGTCCCACGATGACGACGGAAGCCGCATTGGCTTTCCGGCAGAAGGCCCTGTTCCAGATGGTTATTGAGGCGGTTGAGCAGGATGCGAGCGAAGATCTTCCCGGCGATGTTCAGTAGGGAGATGCCGCGGTGATTGTCGCAGACTTGGCGATTCCCTTTTCGCTTGTAAAGGTGCACGATATTTGCGTCCTTGAAATCGTGCGGGACTTCACCTTGACGCCACATCTCCTGGAAGAGCGCAGTCAGGTGATCCATCAGTAGGGGACCTCCGTGCTTGTAGACCTCGGCAGGGATTGCGTCCGATCCGGGTGCTTTCCCGTTGGAGAGTTGCTGCACGGCCCTGATGGTCTCCTGGAGAGATGGCGGGAGGTCGAGGTCCACGTTGGTCTCCACTTGCGGCAAGCGGGCGATGGCGGCGTCGGAGATGACGGAAGGGCGGTTGAGGACGCCCTGGAAATGCTCGGCCCATCGCTGTAGGATTTGCGTCTTCTCAGTCAGGAGAGTGCTGCTGTCGGCGCTGAGGAGAGGAGCAGTGCCCTTCGTCGGCGGACCGTAGACAGATTTGATCGCGGAGAAGAAGTTCTTCCATTCGTTGCGGTCCGCGTAGCCTTGGATCTCCTCAGCTTTGCGAGCAGTCCAGGCGTCCTGCATCTCGCGCAGTCGTTGCTGAAGCTGTCGGCGACTGCGGTAGAAGGCAGCTTTGTTGTCCTCAGTGGGATGATCTACGTAGGCTTTGTGGAGGCGGTTCTTCTCAGCAAGCAGATTTCTGATGGCGGCGTCGTTGTCGTCGAACCAGTCCTGGTGTTGGCGGGGAGCGCGACCGAGGACGGCGAGCGCCGTCGACTGGACCGTGTCTCG